CTAGAGAACAGATATCTAAAATAAATCATATTTAAATAGGACATTTAAGGGACTAGAAAGCATCAGTGCCTGTGTGTTGAAATTTGTTTTGGCAGAAGTTCTGCTGATGTTGCAACTTTTTATTTTTGGAATTATAGACAACACAATTTAGATCGACAGGGCCATGTGTTTTTTATTTATTTATTTTTTGTTTTTCTACATCAACTTTTTACCACATCTGCTTGTCCGTTGTTAAAATGTGATATGTTTTTGGTTCTGGGCTCTTTTATGATGTAGGACAAATTAAATAACAAACTGAAATCAAATCAAAAATGTAGTATAGTTAAAAATATGAAGTCATTTTTTAGATGTGCATTATGTCCTATCATGATGAACTTTTCCCTCTGGTTCCCCAGTTTGTGTTTGACCAGTCGACTGGTGAAGACCCTGCTCTACAACTTCATCAGGCAGGAGAAGTGTCCTCCCGCCACCCACATTTTTGAGCCAAAAGCTGAAGGTGGTCTGCTTTATGGCCTGGCGTCTGGAGTGGCAAGTACGAATACACACTTAAATACACAAGAACAAGACAAAAGAAATGCTATGAAGCAACCAGACTATGTTTGTTGGTTTCTGCAAACAAGATAATTTACAGTTCTCAAAACACAGGTGCTACCAATAAAGGTGTGGGATTTATATATATATATATATATATATATATACACATCTCCTATAATATCTGCTCTTATTAATTCTGTAGAAACGGAGAGTGAGGACCTCCTTGAGGAGCTGCTGTTAAACCTTGTTCACCTGATTGTTGAAGTGCCCCTGCTGTAAGTACCATTAAATCTATATATTTTTGTATTAATGGGATTATAAGGGAAATATTGAATTAAAACATTGCTGTCTCATGTCCACTAAAACAGGCATGTAAAGTTTGGTGGTAATGCAAATGCCACTGTGCATGTGTGTGTACCTGCAGCCTAGACAAGTGTTGCACATATTGCAAATTCATCATCGCGATAACAGACAATGGCATATTGCAAAAAACTGTGTAAACTGCAATAATTGGTTGGTTCAGATGTTTGTATTTATGCGTTTTGTCAGCATTGGTCCAATAAACACAATGGACCCGATATACAACATCAAATCGTAACCACTTGGTCAGTGGTGAAAATGTTGGTCAACTGTAATAAGATAATTTGCAGTTGGATTTAGGATTGTTAAATTTTATTTAAAACTCTTGAACTCAGTTTTTAGATGTTTTTATTATTTATAAAAATACTGATAGTAAGTCAGAAAATGTTTTATGGGGCTAATGTTTTAAAGTCATTAGGAAACTACTGCATGCAGTATATTTTTTCACTGCTAAAACAGCAGCTGTGCCTGGTTGCACTTATTTCGAAACAAAACTGTCCTGTTGTAATGCAAATGACACTGCATATTTAAGTATTTGTTCATTTATTGCACGTCATATTGTCACATTAAGCACTGTTATTACAGGTTTTCCTGATATTGTGTACTTAGTTTCATTGATGGGTTATGGATCCATTGGATTATTGGTTGACTATTGCACTTGTTTGAAGCCAACATTGTGGTCTTGGTCCACATTTTCTGTTTTCCTCTGACTCTGGTTTATGTTAGTGTTTGAGGTGACAAGTTAGATAACAAGTTCATAACATGAGTTGCTCTACACTGCCTTCCACCATTAGGCTCACATGCACGCCTGAAAATGATGGTGTCACACAAAAATATGTCATCACATGGAACTAACTGCAATTGTTATCAACAGTTTTTCTGATGCAAACAATACAAATTTGCCCAACCCTATTTGTGAGTGGTTCAGCTATAATATTGCATGTTTTTTGTACTTAACCCAGTAAAAGAACACCATTAACCATTAGCTACAACAATAATAGCCCAATAATAAATGGACCAATACAATCTGGTTCAGGAGCATAGAAAGGTTCACTTCCTTGAAGTCTTAAAAGACGATGATATTCCCCTCAACATTGGAACATTTTCTCTTAATATTTACATTTTAATCTCAACATTTACAGCTCTCTCTTCCCAGGCCACAGAGGATATATTCCTTCAGCAAGTTCTGGGTTTGCTCTGAGGTCTCTCCCAGTGGAACATGGCCAAAAAACCTCTAAAGGAAGGCATTTTAATCAGATACCCAAACCACCTTAACTGACTGATCGATGTGAGTAGCAGCTCTCTCTGGATGACAGAGCTCCTCACCCTAGGGTGGCCTTCTGTCAGTTTCTGTCTTATTCAATCAGATGCATACATGGTGCTAATAATGGTTAGTCAAGCTAAATAAGCATAATGAAAAGCAAATCCTACTGAAAATAATCAGTTTGTCACCTTATTCTCAGGTTGAGTTTTCTGACTTCTGACAAAAATGTAAAGAAGCATGTTTTCTTGCCAACTTTTGCTCTTTAATTTAAGCCGAGAAAAGAGGAGAAAATGATGTTATGTGTGTGAAAGAGACAAAGTGTCGATAAGGTTAAGAAACAAGTGAAACAAATATTTAGGACTGTTTCCAATGTGAGTAGGAGAGAAGGGAACATGATGTTTGAAAAATAAAGTCAGCCTTTACTCCCACTGGGCGGTGCACACACTAAACACTGAATTAATGAGAAAATGTTTCTGTGGGTGGGTGGCTCATCAATGGGTGAATTATTTGACTGATATTCTGTCAGAAATAAAAAAACTGTATCTTTGCACACGTTTTCTCTGCACTGCACACAGACTCGCTTGCAGTGCGAAACAAGTTCACACAAACACGCTGACGTTTTCTGTTTTCTCAATAATGCATTGTCAAATTTCCCCCCTCTTTTATTCATACGTCTGGACTGTGTCATTTTTGACATTCTCTGTCTACCAGTTTCTTCAACACTATTTTTCTTTCTTCTTTGTTTTTTTTTTTCTTTTCTTCCTGTTCTCTGCAGACATCAAAACCTGGCTCTTGTCTAAATATGTTCAGCATTCCGAAATTATTCATTGTTTCAACCTTAGAGCCTCCCTGTTTTTCTTCCCTTCACCACTCTATGGTTATAAGCCCATTTCCTCTGTACGTGCTCCTGCTTTGGGAATCTGGCCATTCTTTTGCTAAAGCTTCCACAAATCTCAAGCAGACTGCGGCACCTTTTGTCTCATTGTTTCACATGAAAGATTAATGAGTAATATTCCAGTCACAGGTGTAGAACATAAGTAATTTATCAAGGAACAGGTCCTCAATCTGATGGAAAAATTACTATTTTTTAATGTATTCATTAAAAAATTTGGAATTTTGATTTCATATAATTAGCTGGTGCGAGCAAGCCGCTCGGACCTCCAGCGGTTATCAGATGTTGATAATCTGATCGGAGCCATTCGCCCCCTCGTGGTCTGCAATGTTTCAAACTTTAATCAGCTGTTCTCTGTGGTGTAATAAACATTTCCTGAAAGTTTCACATAAATCTGTTTGGTGGATATTTTTGAAATTGATAGTTTTGCTGCAGTCATGCTGCAGAGGAAGCCCTCTGGGCGGTGACGGAGAGCAAGGTTCACGCAGGTCTTCTCCAGGTGGTCCTCGGAGGTTTACTCTCTTTACTGGACAACAAAAGAGGGGGCGGAAGGACAGGGGAGGCTAACTTCTATTGCAGGGCTTTGCTGTAAAATACGAAAATAAAAATAATAAATTCACCTCTGATTTTGATGAAACTTTTAGGGAAATTCTATCGCTTAGAGCTACAGCTGACAGAAATTTGAGCCAGATCTCATGGCTGGTTTAATCTATGTTTTTACTGAAACTACTTTTTTTTGTTTGAATAAAAAATATTACCTTTAATGTATTTCAGAGTTACTTATTTTCTGATGGAACTTTGATTTAACCATTTATTAGTTTGCTTTTGGGACTGAAAAATATGTTTGTTCTTTTTTGTCACATCGTTATGATTTATGCATTTAACAGTGTTCTTAAAGGGGCAGTATCATGTAAAATCAACTTTTATGAGTTTTAGACAGAGGCCAATTTCAAGATGTTTAGAAACAGATATGATGAGAAGTCAAGTTTAATTTCTATTTAAACATATAAACAGCATTTTAATAACATCTGAAGATGACATAGTTACTGTATTATGGTATAGAATTTAAATATATGCCTGAGAAACACATAATATTGCTCCTTTAATTAAACAAAATATGCACAAATAGAGTTGCATGTTTAAATATCTATTAACCCTACACCTGAGCTATATTTTTCAGTGTGAAACATATAAAATGCAAAGAAGACACTTGGATTGAAATAGTATTTAGTATTTTTCTATTGTAAAGATTTTGAGTAGGACTAAGAAACAAACATCAGGGTCATTTTATGTTAATTTCTTTGTTAGAACTAATGAAAAAAACACAGCCTTATTATTCAGGTACAGATGCTGTACAGGTGCTGTTTTCCTTTCAGGACATTCAGAGCTGAAAAAAAAACTTTAAACAACAACTAATTTTTCATGTCACCATTTCGTGCAGAGACATCACCTACAGCATCCTGTTTGAAGCTGTGACGACGTTACTAGTGTTCTTCTCCTATCAGCTCCTCCACAAAGACATCCTCAGAGATGGACTAGTTTACCAGCACATCATGAAGGGACGATGGTGAGAAACAAACTCAGATTAAACTGTGGTGTGCCTTTAACTATAATTATAAACTTAATAACACCTAATTTGCACAAAGGCTAAGATACAAAAGATCTCTCTTGCTTCAGGAGTACGTTTTGGAGCTACAACTTATCATTTATTTTCCTTTTTTTGTTGTTTTTTGTCTTTAAATTGAATGCAAAAGCAAATTTTACTTTTCTCTGGGTGATTGTGACATCACTAATTAAAGATCAAATCAATCTTTTATCTGTTCTCTTATGCTTGTAAATGAGTGAAAATTTTGTCTTTAATTGTGAGCCGAGACAGGAGTAAAGCTGTTCTGGTCTCCATGTGAACCACAATTAAGCTAGGCTTGTATAGTTGTACAATATGTACACCAGTGGTTCTGCTCATCTGTTAACTCGTTATTAAATTTATAAACTAGTAACAGCCTTAACTCACACTAAATAATTTTTTTTTCTTGACCTCTAAAAATCTTATAATATGTGACACTACATCCTTGATATATTCAGTAATATTGTTTTTTCACATACAGCAGTGACATTCTTGATAAAGCTGTGCTCTGAACATTGCCTTATCATTAGTGTCTGGTCTGCCATGTGTCACACTAACATCATCCCCAACCCAAGGACACACTTGTTCACATTCACTCTTCGAACTACAGACCAGATGCTTCTGACTCATAATTTCAGTTTACAGGCAAAAACAGAGACTTTAATATAAATTTTAAGCAAAAACTGAACAAGAATTTGTCAAGAAAAAACTAAGTTTATACTCAAAACAATTGCAAAATTCAGAAAAAAACAAAGATTTTTGATGTTTTCCTAGCATCCTTTGCAGTTGGGACATCATACAGTCAGAGATGATTTCCTGAGTTTGTTTTTAAAAAAGTGAAGCAAAGAGACACATCTTTGCTTTGATCTGTGGCATACAAATATTCAGTATTTAAATATAAAACTAAATCAGCAGAAACGTGATTTCACAGCCTGTAATTTTTCCAAGCCTTTTTTTCCCCTTGTCCTCTTTTTCCGTTTGTGAGCTGTAGCTCCGCCTCCTGGCTAAAGGGTGGCTGTTACCCAGCATGCACTGCACAGTGGTGTAGTTTCCCATTATTATTTATTTTCTCTGAGCCAGGGGAATAGAGAGGGAACTGAGTTCTTAATGTTTGCTCAGAGATAATACCCAGGTGCAGTATAACATTATACTGTTTCCCACTGGGTGGACTAAATGGTAATATATTAAATATTAGTGGGTTAGCTTTAGGTTCTGCCATGTTTTTATTAATTCAGCTTTTATTGTTGGGAACTAAGAAATTCATGTAGCGGTTTAGGTGTTTGTGCAGCTAAAATTTTGGTTAGCCCATCAATGATGTACACACACAGGAATATCAGTCATTTAAAACAAATCTGACTGGTAACAGGTTCAGTCAGTAAGGAAACTGAATTATATATATA